CCCCAAAACCCCAAAACCCCAAAACCCCTTTGGCAAGGTTTAGTTGAAGATTGGAAGAACTTAAAGATGAAGAAAATTATAGAATTAATTATTCATTTGGTTCACTTTAAGAAATTACATTAGCTAAGAAGGTTTTTGATAAACATAAGACCACATCTCAATCTTTTCACGTATTTAATGCGATGTGAGCACAAGTTAATCCATTCTGAGCAACCCAGTAACAGAAATTTCTGGTTAGATCTATGGCTTCTGCTCTATCAATCTAGCAAGCGCCATGTTCCTTATCCAAAAACTCAGAAACAAAGTCATTACAAATTAAAGGAGCGAAATCTGCATTGCATACTGCAGTATACTCTGCTTGCGGGATATAAATATCCTCATCCTCATCTAGTTACTATTATTGCTAAAGTAGCTCTTCCATTTCCTCATCATCTCTTAACTCATCATTGTCTTTGACACCCTCTTCATTATCTTCTTCTTTTACTTCTTCATCTTCCATCTTGGCATCTTCATCCTCATCATTTGCCTCTTTTTCCTCAGTGTTCTATTCTTGATCTACTTTAGCCTATTAGTCAACAGTTAATTGATCATCCTTTGTTGCCCCTTGCTTATCAATAGTAGACTGTTCATTATTATTGCTGTTTTGTATTTATTATTTGGACTTTTTATTCTTTTTTGTTTAGGCAACTATATTCTCAGAATTTTCTTACGATATCTCTATTTAAGGAACCTCTTCTTCACTTTGTTCATTTCCTTAAGCTTATAAGATTTCTCCATCAGAATTCTCTTCTTCTTTCATGAGTCTATCATCTTCCTCTTCTCGAAGTTTTTAGGCTAATTCCTCTTTCTCCTCTTCGCTTCTTAGCTTATTAAGAATATCATCTTTGTCTAAGATGCCTGCCTTCTAATAGTGCTCTCTTCTCTTGAGCCATCCTTGCTCATTCAAGCATTCTCTATAAAGTAAAACGAATCTCAAGCAAGTTTTATAGTAGCCTTCATTGACTAATTTTGAAACATCTCTAAGATAGAGTGAAAAGACTTCATCGCAGGTTAGTTGATCTTTTTCCTCCTCGCTCATCATCATGAACTTTCTCAGTCTCTCATCCCTCTTCAATTCCTCCTCCTTTTCTTGCATTTTCTCATCATCTTCTTCATGATCATGGTCATCATGATTGTGATCATGTTCCTTATTTGCATTTATAGACTAGCCTAGATTGTTGTTATTGTTAGTACTAGTATTTATTTCTGAAATCTGCTAATTTTAGTTAGAATTTGGCTTTTAGATGTTTGATTCATTTTCATCTTTCATCTCCTCATTGTCTTCTATAGCATCTTCAAACTATTTCTTATCAGCTTCTTATTTAATGAGAACAGGAATAATTGGTTTGAGTGGAGTTTGATGAGCTGAAATGTTCTTAAGGTTCGAGTTATTGTTCAGAACTTTCTGAGTCTGGAATATGTTTCCTCCTTTGATATCCATTGGAATAACCTGATTTTCCTTTTACTGCTGCTATTAAAGTTAGAGTTCAAGTTGCTTCTGCTGTTGTTGCTTCTTTTTCTCCTCAATATACTCCTTGAGTTCTTCGGCATAAAGCTGGAGTTTGCAGAACAATGGGTGAGTTTTGTATTCATCCTGTCTATTCTTGACTTCCTCCTCATTTTCTGCTTCTTATTCCTCCTCTTTACGCTTTTCCATTTACTCCTAAGCTTATCGTTCTTATTCCTACTGCTATTGGATGTAGTAGGATTTCGGTTTTCTACCTCTTTTCTTCTTTACCTTTTCATTAGGATTAGGTTATTAAGTAACAACAGGAGCAATACTAGTTAAATTTTCTTGATTCTGATCCTTTGCGACAGCCTCCCCATTACTTTATTTTAATTCTTCATTCTATTCAGCATCTTCATTCTTTTTTTCCTCCTCTTAGTAGTTTTCTCTATCTTCAGATTTCATAACTGCATCTTACTGCCCATCAGGATTCTTCTCAATAGCCTATTCATCATCATTGGGAATCTCCTCTCCATCTTCATTAAATTTCTTATCCTCAGTTTGATCAACTCCTCCTTCTCCCATAGCTTAAGATTCGTCACCATGTGTCTGCTGTAGTTAGGGCTTAGCTCTTTTGATGTAAATTTCAGTATAAACCTCCTTGAATCCAATTGTGGGGTCAATAGGTCCACCCTGCTTGTCGTTACTCTTGAAGAATTCATCACTAGTAGGCTCAACATGAGAGAATCTCACACCTTAAGCGTTTTTCTTAGGTCTGCCGCGTCCTCTGCCAGAATTTATATTTATTAGTGGCTAACCATCTGGACCCTTGGCATGCTTATTCTTCATATGAGTGTAGAGAGCTGGATAGGAAAGATAGGTTTTATCACAGAAGGTACATTTATGATCACGACCTTGCACGTCATTCTTTGAACGACGCTTTTGCTTTTTACGATCTGGATCTTGGTCACCGTCATCTTCTGAAGATGAATCTTCTTCACCTTGCTCTTATTTTGTGCTTACAAATTAAACTTAGTTGCTTGTAGGCTAATGTGAAGAGTCTTATTAGATAGAGTCTTCTGATTTATGGACTGATAATTGCTGCTATAATTGCTGCTACTCCTATTGCTATTTAAGAAGTTATTGATGCTTTTACTATTCTTGTTTCAATAACACTTCTTCATTAACTTTTGGAGGAGGGTAAATCAATCCTTAGCTAATACTTTCATTCAACTGCAATGCTTAAACCAGACTGCTAATTGGTGCTGGTTTACTTGGAATAGGATCTTCAGTTTTAACTAAACTTGCTACGTTATTTGATGTAGCGTTAGTTTCCTCTTTGACCTGCTTAGTTTTTGTAACTTTTGGCTCTTATTGATCTTTATCTTAGTTTTGTTGCTCTTTTGCAGTGCTTTTTTCCTTTTGAGGCTTAGACTCAGCGGGAAATGTTGTATCTTCAGATTTCACTTGAGTCTTAGACTTTGATGCTTATTTCTCTGATTAAGCTGGTTTTTCTTTCTCTTCTTTTTTAGAATCCTTATCATTTTTAGCTTTTTCAGGTTTACCTTTAGATTCATTATTTTATTGGTCTGGCTGCTTTTTATCTTTGATGCTTTATTTCTCTGATTTCTTATCTTTTGAACTTTATTCGTTTGCTACCTCCTTAGACTCCTCTCTAAGTCTTTTCTTAGGAAGAATTTATTGTTATTAAATCTAGGGTGGTGCTTCCTCTTTTTTTGAAGGAGGTGGGGGTAACTAGCCAAAAGATTTACCTGTTCTAGTAGTCCTTCCCTCTGGCTAAGGTGGCTATTTCTTTTATGGCGCTTCCTTTTTATTCATTTCTAAATTATTATAGTTTTAATAATAATTCCACAATTTAAATTATTATAAAATTTGTCCCTCTCTTTGCATTCATATTCTCTCTTATGGGGTTTTGGGGTTTTGGGGAGATCGGAAGAGCGTCGTGTAGGGA